TTTAGGTTCGTTTGGGCTTAATGCCTTACGTCAGAAAAGTCTATGGGCTGCGCTTTAGGGGTCAGGATTTTTGGGCTTCGGGTTTAGAGGTTTGGGATTCAGGGTTTAGGGTTCAGGGTTTAGAGTTTAGTGTTTAGGGTTTAGGGTTTAGGGTATTGTTGATGATATAAGTCCTGCATTACCTTAACGTGGCGTTCTCCTGGTTGGCTCTTAGGACTTTAACTTGTTCGGTTTCTATATGAACCACAACAAGTAGGCTACAAATTTATCCATTAGGAGGGGTTCAGAAGTCAGCCAAGTAAATCCTGCATTACCTTATAAGGACCCTAAAGTATGGGAATTATGGTATATTCCTTACTAGTATTATGGGTAATGCCGGATTTATATCATCAGCCGTAGTTACGGGGGACAGGCTTGAGACTTTGGGTTCTTGGGATTTTGAGGTTTCGTGCGTAGGGCTCTGCTGTCTCTGATTTGAGTCGTCTACTTACTCTGCTTAGGACTTGTCTACCTGGTGTTGGGTTCTGCCCCCTTTTGAGTGGATCCCGTATGACCCGCCTGTTTTCCCGCCGTGTAAAGGAGTCGTTCTTCACAGTTGAGTTCGTACACTTGAAACTTTTCCTGGGCTTTGGAGTACCATACTTTAGTACTTTTTTGGGGACCTGTTCCTTAAAGGATCCAGTATAAGATAGAAGTCTATATTTGTTTTCCCTGGTTACTTCAAAGCCCAATTCTTCACAGTTGAGATCGTACACTTGAAACTTTTCGGTTTGGTAGGACGAAACCCTACACCCTAAGCCCTAAACCCGAAACCCTAATCCCTAAACCCTAAACCCTAAACCCTCATAAATTGTGGACTGGAAGGTTCCGAGAATCATCAATGAGCCGACGGCTGCAGCTCTGGCTTTCGGCATGGACAAGGCTGCATATATATATATATATGTATATTATACAATATTATATTATATCATATTATATCATATTATATTATATCATATCATATCATATTATATTATATTATATTATATTATATTATATTATAAAATATTACATTATATTATATTATATTGTATAATATTATATTCCATTATATTATATTATATTATGTTATGTTATATTATGTTATGTTATATTATATTGTATTATATTATATTATATTCTATTCTATTCTATTATATTATATTATATTATATTATATTATATTATATTATATTATATTGAAAGAAACCGTTTTTAATGGATATATGCATGGCTCCGCCCGTGCAAGGATCTGTGCCAGGCCCGTGAGTGCTGCGCTGAGCGCCAGTGTATACCGTATACCTGCATACAGTATGTTACAGTATGTAGTGCATGTATATATACAGCAAACATGTCATCTAGAGGTGTTTAGGCTTCGACGCTGAAGACGTTGTGGAAATGCTCCTGTAGCCAATGTGAAAGCTCACTGTGCGAGGTCGAACATCAGGTGCCCGCCGCTTGGGAAGCGCTTGTTGCTTACTCTCTGTCCAGAGCGTTCATCACTTCCCCCGTTCGACTCCCGGCAGCAATGGCTCCCTTCTCTGACACGGAACCGGAACACTCTCACCACATCCTCACCCTCCCCTATGCCCGCCTACCACCTGCCTGGTCGTTTAACAGAAGAAACTGGTTTTTGTGGTCGGCGAGCCTTCTTCAGTTTCCGGGCCACATTCGACTCCAACGAAGCGGTCCCGACACAGCTGGGGGTTGCCAAGAGCCGTCGGTAAGATGCTCATGAAGGTCAGCGTTCTGCGACAGCGAGGACTCGGCATTCATCATACTAGTAGCACTCGGCGCTTTCATGCCCACCCGTTTTCGGCAGCTGAAGGTCGGGTTGCTTATACTCAAGCCATTTCAAAACATGTCGGGATCACTTGACCATGGCCTCGCGGCAAAGGCTTCCTTCGGTGGTCACAAGTTGCTCTGAACTGGAGCCCAATGAGCTGAGATCTCAGGATCGACCCCATCCGAGTCCTTGAGATGTTGACTAACACTATGCCTTTAAGCTTGTGCCCAGTTGCGCAGCGGCTCCATGAAGAGCTTTTGCAGCTTCTGTGGACAAACCGAGCAGCTCACAGATCTGAAGGTGCAGACGAGCACAAGGTTGTTGCGGCCTGGGCTGGGCTAAATCGGATGGACCTCCAAACGGTCCGCCTCTGAAGGCAGATGCATGAAATTTACGCTGCTTCAGCATGAGGCACACATCTCTTGCATGTGCAGACTGCGTCCGTCGACATCTTTGAGAATCGACCCCTCTGCTGTGCGTAGAGTGCCAGACACGGGCTTCGTGTCGCCCATGATCTTCGCAGGAACAGGCGCGAAGGGAGCCCGAGCCAAAAATGGGCTGATGAAGGCAGCAAAAGGAGAATGCTGCCATGGAGGCATCTGCTGCACCATCTGAAGTCGCTGGGCGCCCCGGCAGCGTCTCATCTTTGATGGAAGCAGCTGCATGTCTGAAATGGAAGGATCGGAGTCATCAGGCGACTGCAGCAACGACAGAACCAGGGCCTTCGGGCCCTGTTTGAAAGATCCTGCAAACGAGGCGGCAAAGGAAGCATCTCCACTGGCTCACAGCTAGCCCTCTTTGTGCCGCTGAAGACTCACATCAGGTCCCAACTGGAGCAACTGGCTGCACGGCCTGTGCAGAAGCCTCTCGGAGTTTGCCGACAATGGCAGTTTGCAGCCCTGGCAGGATGCGTAGCACGGTAGAAGACCTCGGGAAGGCCGCCAACAGCTACCCCCAACGCTCTAAGGCCTGTTGGAATCCTCTGGATCGCGAACAGAGTCGTTTGTTGCTGGTATGGGGTTCTGCGCAATAAGGCACACACAACTTGCCAGTACGGTACAGGATTAGGAAGGCTGCGGTTCTGTCGTCACAGGCTGTGCGGTTCCTTCGGCTTCGGGCCGGTGGAGTCGAACACTTTCTGTGGCTCAAAGCTTATGTTTCGATTCTGTGGCCTTTCTCCCATGCAGCTCAGTATGCATGAAGCTCTCGGACGGCAGAGCTGGATCACAGACGGTCACGCTGTCAGAACAAGCTTTTGCCTCTGGGCCCCCAGCCACAAGGTGTTCGCCGGGCCACGGCAGTCGAACTCAGTGCTGCGCCGCGACACGGCTGAAGAAGTGCCTCGAGATAATGCGCAGAGCGTTGGGCATGGGGCGGTTTGGGAACAGAGGGGGTCGGTGGCTCAAAAACGGTACTGGAAGAGGAGCACGAGCATCTCGGAAACAGCATCTTCGACAATGCAGAAAGGGAGCGTCAGAGTGCTAAACCCTAAAGGCCCTAAAGTCTCGACACTGCATTCCTTGGCTCACGGCAAACTGTCACGGCGACACCTGGTGACGCGAAACGGATTCAGTTCCACTCTATCAGGTGCCTCAGAAATCCTCAGCGGCTAACACGTACGCACGTCAGGAACCTACGAGTACTTGCTTACAAATGCTGCACGGGCAGTTGCTCGTGGTGCTGTGCACAATGCACAGTCCGCTGTTGCACCGTTGGCAAGGTGATCTAAAGCATCAAACTCCTCATGTTTACTGAGTTGATTACTGTGCAGGTCAAAGTAACACCCGCCCATCTTCCATATAGCAAAGGCAAGCGTGGCAGCGCAGCCCATACTCTCCAAAGAGGTGAAGTCTCGGATGCTGTTTGCAAGCTCTTGCGGAAGGAGCTCCTGTCAGACAGGACTTGCAGGATCTTTCTTCAGCAAGTTGGACGTTCACAGGGTTTTGAAGGCGCAACGCTGAGCCTGAACACTGGCTGCCGTCGACTCGCCAGCAGCACTCAACAAGGAAGCACCTGAAGATGGGCCATCGTCGGTGCTTGGCTTGGACGCTGCACTCTGAGAAAAGAACGACAGAAGCGGAGATGCTGGAGCACAGGTGAGACTTTGCTGACTTGAGGTCCTGGCCCATAAGCTGCAGCGTGGTGTGTCTCCAGGAGACGTTTGCTGGTCCCTGCGGCGCGTCTACGACAACACTCTGGACTCCAAAAATTGCGATTGCTTCCTGCCTGGGAGTTGGGCATCGGGAGCTGCCGCCACCCTGGCACTGGCGTTTCAATCCCTGCGATGCCGATCGCCTCCCTCACAAGAAGCCCAGCTTCCTGCTTGAGTCTACTTGAAGAAACAGCCGAATGCAAAGCTGATGCTGCTGTAGGCCTTCACGGCATGTCGCTTGAAGCAGAAGCTCGCCTGAGTTTTCTCAGCACTCAAATTACTCAACGTCTTCCCACTCTACACTTCTCAAAGTCTCGAAGCCGAGCACGGACCCTGAAAACTCGAAGGACTGTCTGAAACAGCGCAGCTGTGCGGCAATGGGTCTTCTACTGTCGCAGTTCATCAGAATTCATCGTTCATCATGCTGGCGGCCGAATGTCCAAAGCGTATCCCTGGCTATCCCTGACTCCTTGGGAGCCTGACGTCTGGGTGCCAACGCAGCAGGCGCCTTACACGAGCTAGGGCGGGATCGAACGTGAGAGTGGGAAACATCAAAGCCTGCGCTGCGGTCGTCGAATCCTGCGGCCCGAACCTGGGCGGTCGACCACTTTCAAAGCAGAGGCGCTGTAGAGGTTTCTCTGTGTCCCGGACTCTGAAACCAAATCCAGCGCCCTTGCCAGGGCCTTGGACGTCCAAACGCAAAGCACATTTGGCTTTCGCAAACAAAGCCCATGAGCAGCGCGCCGCCGAAGTAAACGCCAAGCCAGAGGCTTGTAGTATCCTTCGGGCTGTTTCTGTGCTTTGTGCATGGTGGCAAAGGCTAAAGAAAGAAACCCAAGAGAGTGCTTCAATCAATCTTCGTGGCATAGAGGCCTAGTTCTCAGGTCGTAAACTCTAATAACTTGCGATGCCATAGCTGAGCCGGGGGCTCTGAGCAGACAGTCTGGTGCAAGATCTTGCATGAGGAACTTACCCTACCGCATAGGTGCATAAGACCACATCAATGCAGCCATGCCTAGTAGCTCATCACCATGCAAACCAGCGTAGAATCTGAAGATGCCCTCTGCAAACTATAAAAAAACTCACCTGAATCTGTCTATCTGCCTATCCATCTGTCTGCCTGCTCATATATCTCTCTATCTGTCTGTTTTCCTGTCTGTCTCTTTGTCTATCAGTTCGGCCCCCCTCTGTTGGCCACCAGGAGTTCGCTCCTGGGATGCCGAGGGGTTCCCTGGAAGGATGTTTGAGCTGCAGCAGAAAGGGAAAAGTCCTCGTGGCCCATCCTCCATTGGCCAGGTGCTGTGGCGAAAGCCGTGAAAGCTCGGCTTCAGCGGGGACCGCAGCCTGGGAGAAGTTCCGGCTACCTGTGCAGACTGCGGTTAGTGCTGGAATACGGTACCCGGCCGTCAACGAAGGGCGAAGCACCGCTGGCACCCCTGGCGCCTGTCAGAAGGCCCGACATGTCTCAGTGGTGATCCTTGCTGAAAAGCTGGCTTCCCCTGGCCTGTCCCATGTTGGCGAAGTCTTGGGGGCCGAGCCCAGTGACTCTTTCAAGTGCCTCTCCGGCCTTGGATACGGGTTCCTCTGCAAGATTTGTCACTGCTTCACTGGGGCACAGGTAGCAGTTAGCATAATCCATCAACCCACGGACGACTCCCATCCAGGGAGTTTCCTGGCCCAGACACGTTTCAAGGGTGGCCCTCGCACAAAGCGTGCCTCAACAGCCACTAAAACACTAAAGTTCTCAACTCCAATTTCCGAATCATTGAATCATTCAAGAACCTTGCTAGCCACCGTGGCCCCTGCCGCTGCAAGTCTTAGGTGCAGACCAGTATAGAAATCGTGGGAACGTCGAATCGCAAGGCCTGGTACACACGAACTTCGCCTTCTTGCTTACATGTCCCAAGAATTCTGCCAAGAGCTGCTTCACGCCGAGCCCGAGATGCCGAGGCATGAACTTTAGCCAATCTCCGCATGCCGTTGGACAGGTTCTGAGAGTCGAGGCCTGAATTTTCATGGTCTGCGCTTAGGTCTCACAGACTGTGGTTTCAAGTGGTTCTATACCACAAAATGGCGAATAAAGGATCTACCTCCACTGAAGTAGCATGGAGGAGCAGTGACAATGACCCACCAGTCCATGACTTCGCATCAAAACTGTTCATAAAACCACGTCTATTCGACTACAAGCTGCCTCTTGCGAAGGCAACCGCTGCCGTGGACAACCTGCATGGCAGGTTTGATGGACGACTTGCCGCCGTCAACAAAACAATCAAGCCACGATGGCTTGGCACGGTGCGAGATGCTAAGATGTTCACTCTTGTCGTGTCAACATTGACAGACCGCGGTCCGCGCTCGGTTCAACTGAAGTCTTTTTCTTAGAAAGGAGACTCGAGTCGAGATCGAAATGCCTTCGAGAAAAAAAAACCCGGCAATGAGATAATTTGAGAATCAGGGTGTGCGATTGCCTGCTTGTCGAGGACTCCTCCTAGGCTTTCGGAGCAGCAAGTGACCTGAATCGAGAGGCACTGGGCTCTCTCTGCATGGACACAGCGAGATACAGAGCTCAACCTTCGAGATGCTGGCTGCAGGGTGTTGACCTGGCAAAGACAAGCGAAACGATTAGGCATAAAAAAGGCTCATTGCAGAAGCCGCTGCCCAGCCAGAACACACGAATATTGAATGAGTCTGCTGAGCAGTTGACAGTACCCTGCCGCCCAAGCTCGCCAATCCTGCTGATGTTTGACACAATGCTAAGCACAAAGAGCGTCTGCAGCTGGTGCAAGAGGCTTGGATGTAGGCTTCACTCCGAGAATAGTCCGGAAAGGAGCGGGCTCGGCACACTCGCTTGGAGTATCTTGGAGTCCAGTCGGACAGACATCTGCTTGCTGGTGTGAGCCGTACCGTGGCTACTCTGGCTTTGCTTCCACGGCCTGCAGCAGATTGCATCCAGAAGGCCTCCCAGAGTTAGCATCGAGTCTGCCCGTGAAGATACGAGCCCAGCATACGCGGCTGGAACCTTGCAGTGATAAGTCCGCCAGGCGCGTGCTGGCAGTTGCCCAGACCTGCCACCACGAGACTCGCAACCCACGAGCCCTGATGTTACGAGGAACTGAGGCAAAACAGATCCGTCGGTCTGGCTGGGGTGGTGGCAAAGTTGGCAGTGCCCCGCGCATCGGCCTGAGAATTCACGGTGCCCAAACCCTTCCAGCATGGCGGAGCCTCCACACTCAAGAGCTCACAAGTCCGTTATGCCGTTAAAGAGATCCGCCCGTAGGTCACCGCCTAAACTTGACAGCCTCACACGAGCCGAACCTACCGGACTACGATGCGGCTTGTTCTTGCTACTGCCCCAAAACCCACATGAAAGCGCCTTGAATCCGGAAAGGTAAAGGTTGCGCCGCGCCTCCACGGCCACTTCCGCAGCTTGCAACAGCAAGGCACGCCCGGATCCAAGCAGCACCGCGGCCCCGGAGAGACTGACAAGCATGGAGTTTGGGCAAAAGACGAACCCATGCAACAGACGCACATGAAGATGCAACATGTAGGATCTGCCATTGAAAGCTGCAGGCACTCAACTCCTCATCACTGCACGGCCCCAGCGGCTTCACCTTGGAGAAATGTTGTTGTGGACGGAGGCATCCACCACGCCAGCCAGGGAATTGTAGACGTCGCTGACGGTTTCTTTGGGCACTGATGCCACCAGGCGGCCCACGGCGGCGTTCACGGCCGCGTAGTCTGCGACAAAGGTCACGCTTTTGGAATCGATGCTGCGATGGCTTTGTGCCTTCAGAAGGTTTCCATCCGTCTGGCTTTCCATGACGATCTTTTGTCAATGGCTTTCAGCGTCTGCGGCGCCGTCTTGCCCGGCAGCGGCTCCGGGTAGCTCGCCAGTCCGCTTCATTCAGGAAAGGATGCGAGGAGTCGGAGAGGGCCTTGGCCGCGTCACCTGGTTCTTTCGCCACCACACCTTGCATCCTCGGCTTTCACCAGTGACACCTTGGGGTCCGTGATGTCCTTCACGGAGTCGTAAACTGCCATGGAGGCCACCACTCCCAAGGTGGCGTTCATGTTATCCCCTGCTCTGGAAGTACACCATTGGAGCCAATGACCCTTCCGATGGCTCCCATATCGATGAATTTTGTTTTGTCAATTGCTTCTTTGGCTCAGAAGTAGCCTGGGAGAAAAAGTAAATTGTTGTTCAGAATGGTTCCTCGAAGGAACATTCAATCAAGCATCACAGTATGGTTCTCCAGAAGCTTAGGTGCAGTTCGACGTACTGGCCTGCCAGGTTCTGAGAGAAGGCCGTTACTTGGGAACACGATCGGACTAAAATTCTATTGATTCTGATGGCTGTGTCATCTCTTGCTTGTGGCCTTGACACACCACCACGACACATCGGGCCACTCTTCTGTTCAGTGTTAACTCGGCTCCTCCGTCTTGGTGGGACTGCGTTTGAAGCCTAGCCTCTTTGAGGCCGGCAACAAATGAGGTAACCAGGTCTCGTCGACACCGTCACAAGAACACTTTTGCCGTGAAAGGGGTCGAACTCAAGGATCCCTCGAAAGGCAAGAGAATCCAAAAGCGGGCAGACGAACCACCTGCTGGAGGTGAGTGACTTACAGTGTGAGCTCAGGGAGTCAGACAACTCAANNCAAGGCCAAAGGTGCAAAGAGTACCTCTTATAACTCTTATACTATCTTATACACTCTGCATCACCTCAATGAGGTAGCAGTTGCCAACGCACAGGGACAAGATCAGGGGGCCGGAGAAAGATGCGGTTGTTCCAATCGACCTCACAATCGTAAGAGGCGTCCCAAGCTTTTTCGCTGCATCACCGATCTCGGCGAACACAGCGAGCCATCATACTGGCAGCCGATGCCGCAGCAAGAGGTGCCGCGCTCCGGCGTAGGGGCCCGGGACGAAGCTGCTAGACAGCGCACTCACCACCAGCCCGCCCGCGGCCAAGGCCACGCCGGTGGTCGCCTTCCGCACCATGCTGGTTTGATGATCTTAAACGGGGCACCGCAGCGCAGCAGCTTGAGCCGCGATGAAAAGGGATTCAGATCTTCAGAAAACTCTCTGAGCCCGACCAGATCCGAGGTGCCATTGAACAGAAGCATCTAACACGCACACTGAGAATGAATGTGGTTCGGGCTAAAGGCAAGTCAAGGCTCAAGGTAGCGTGGTGGGCTCACGTGTGCCTTGCGATGCGATGGATCGCCGTGATGCAGTTCACAGGGCTGAGCTCCGGCCTGTCTGCCAAGTGCAGGCACAGGATTACAGTCGTCCTAAGGCACAAAGTGGCAAAGCCAAGATGAAACCTCCCACAAACCTCCAGCCACCCTGCCTTGTTGCAGCCTCCAGCACTTTGGCCGGACCTAGGATTGAAGAATCTCTGTGACGTCTCTGCTCGTCCCTACAAAGATGCCGAACGCAAGAAACATGTAAAACTTGTGATCCTCTCCTGCATGGTCCTGTTGCTATGGGGCACTGTCAACGGCGCACGTCTTTCAGGCTGTCCGCCGCAACAGTCGCGCACAGACTGGCTGACTGGCCATGTCATACCAGGGCGCTGGTAGCGGCAAGGATCTCTTCTCCGACACGCCGCTCCCGTCGCGAGAAGCCTCTGGCCTCAGTCGAACTTCCGCCTTAAAGCATGGAAGCTTGCATGAGCTGGTGCTATGAGATGCCCTTGCAAGGCAAAGACGTCTTGAAATGGACAGCGCTGCGGCCGGGCGCGGACAAACGATCCTCCTCAGATGGAAATCTTGAGAAATCAGAGTCTTGTCTTCGTTCAGGATTTCGGTCTTGGATTCAACTTTGCCACGAGCTTGGCAGACGGAAGGCCTCAAGCCACAGCTGAAGAGTAAGATGCAAAGCGCAGCCGGTTCAGACATGTGCGGATGTAATGGCTTGGGAAAACTCGTGCATGGTAGATGGCCGGTCGCGGTGCTAGCAAATCCCAACTACACGCAATTCGGTCTCGACTTCATGCTGTTGGTCCCCGCGAGTACTAACTACGTACATGCAAAGGCTCCGGCAGCGACTTCGACTCGTCACAGCAAAACTCTGAACCCCGACTTTAACCGCGATTGTCGCAAGATCGCTTTTGAACAGCTCTTTAGCCGGACGGGTGCTGCATCACAAACGCAAGGCAAAGAAGATCCGCGAAGGTTAATGGTCCAGGGTTTGCGCCTGGGGCTGAGGGTCTGCGAAGGTCTAGAGTCTAGGGCTTAGAGAAATCATAGGGTTTACGGTTCTGGTTTCGGGTTCAGGGTTCATAGTGTTGCTGAGGGTTTAAGGTTTGGATTAAAGATTTACGGTCTAGCGGTTGGCACCTGCTGAAACAACCACATGTGAAGAACCGAGTGCTATCTTGCGAAGCAGCTCAAACTCAGGTGCAGCATGCAAGCCCATGCTCTAGGCCCACAGCAATGAAGCAAGCATGGATTGAACTTAATTCCCGTGTGGCCTCCCCTCTACTTGTTCCCGGCAAATGGGCGAGGCTGCCTCCGCTACGAGCTCCGTACAAGTCCCCCAGTGAGCACGTTAGCGCATCGCCTCACTGTCATGTGCGGTGACCGGCACGTTGGCCTCAAGGGACCCTGAGAGAGCTCTCTGCGGCACATGCCCCACACCCGGTCAGAGGTGTGCGAGCCGTTGAAGGCACTGTCAACAGCTCGTGGGTAGAGCAGAGACAAGAGCTTCGCAGCATAGATTTGAAACACCTGTGCCCTTTGTATGCCTTTTGTTCTTGTATCCGGACAGTATCGTAATGTGACCGTTATAGTTTTAGAAACCGGCAAGATGATGCAAGGGTCACATACTTCAAGGATCAGATCCAAGTCCATGCACAACACATCCGAATTCTAAACCCTTCCAGGTTTGGGCTTTGGGGTTTAGGGGCTCCCCTTACGTTGTGATAATCCCAGGTCCAGCATTCCCAAGCGATGGCTACACTTGTAGTAGTTGAAATCACTAGCTCAGCAGGTGCACAGTCTCTTGCCATCCAATCCTAACCCTAAGCTGTCCTAACTCCACCGGGGGGTCCTTCGGCTGCCGAGCTTGTCTCGCCGGGCCTGCGGCCCTGAAGGGGCGGGAAAAGCAGAACAGCTACGAATTCGAAAGCCAAAATTCCACCTCGCTGCTTGATGCCCCCTCGGCGGACGCTGCCGCCGACTCCATCTGTGCCCCTGGATCTTTGAGGGTTGGAACCTACTCCGCAAAATTCAACACACAACACCCCTTTGTCGCAGGCCAAGAGAGCATGACAAGACTAGACTCCAGTGTACCCAGAGGCCCTGAGTCGCGCGCCATGCGGAGCATCTCTGCAGCCCCTGAAAGAAACGCTTGCATCCCTGAGCCGGAAAAGGTATACATACGCGACATGGGCGACCATTTTTCGGGTGACCGGGGCATGCTTCCTGGTTTCAGCAGCGCCTGCTTGCAGTGGTCTTTCTCCGCCATGCTAAGACAGTGCAAGCGTAACCGCAGCATTCACTGAGTGCAGCGGGTCGCCCACCTGCGCAGAAGTAGGTGTGACCAGAGTGTGGGAGGTCATGGCATGCCACGAATCCAGGAATCTTGCTGCAAGCTCCGACATCCCTGAGTAGCGCCTCCTCGCTGGAGCTGAAGGGCCCTTGGCTACACTGCATGAAGGTATTGAGCCGTGCTTTTGTCACCGTCGGACCCTGTGAACATTTGGATTGACTCAGATCGGATCTTTTCTGTATGCAATCCGAAAAAGGCCCCGCCAAACGTTACTAGCAGAGAGACAAGAATATGTTTAAGAGCTGATCCAATGCTAAGGCGAAGGCTTTCCGTCCATACGAGTAAGAGTCGTCTGCGCTCCTCTTCCGCCTGGCAGCTACATTGCGGAGCTTCTGCTAGCCACGGACCTTGCTCTGGGACTCTAAGTGGCATGCCACCGATTCTCAGATGTTCCGTACATTGTCAAAAAAATCTTGAAACTCCTCTCTGAGCTATCTTAACTGCAGAATCCCCCACGTGACAACGAAGGCTACACTGACCCTGGGCCTCTGTTCCGCGCAGGCTCGGCATGGCTGTGGCCAGCAGGGATTGGCGCCTGGAACGGGGAGCGCTGAAGCGGAGCTGCTCAGTGCATCTCAAAAAGCCCCCGGCAGCTGGACTTCAGAACCTCGGGCTCCATCAACGAGGCCGAGGTTTTGTTCCAAGGTGCGGCCAACCTTTTATTTCTCCGGGGTGCGGCCAAGGACTTTGTTCGGGTCAAGCTATTGGTGAATTCCAATTTGTGCAGCCTGGTTCTCCCTCAAGCTATTGGGGAATGCGAATTCGCGATTCGTGAATTCCGATTTGTGGGGCTTGGTCTTCTCTCAAGCTATTCGCGAGGTCTTCCCCGAAACTATAGGTGAATTGCAATTAACATCATATAACTTAAAGTGCCGTCTCATTTGGCGAATCCGGCTTAACATATATCTTATATAAACACGCCCTCTCATTTGGCGATTCCGGTTCAACATACATCCTCATCACGCCCCCTCACTTGGCGACTCACGCCGCATCATGTGGCGATTCCGGTGCATCATA